AAATAATCTCCTCAAATTCCCAATTTCCAAATACTAAAAAATCAACGTGTCACGAGATTGTCTCACTTCGTAGACACTGATATTTGGTCAATGTAAGACCAAAAGAGTTGGTTATATCATGCAAATAAAATTAAATTTATTTACATGTATATACTATTGAGTAGTGCATGGATAAATAATATTAAATAATAATTATATATTAAATATGAGCGTAAACTGTATTATTAATAATTATAAATTAAGGTGTAGAGTTAATATGTGACATAATTTATTGTATATCAGTTATAAACAATATTCTTTTCTATTTTTTTTTAAATGTCATTATAGCTTTTTCAACTATTTGTCAAATAAATGTCGTTTTGAATATTTTGTACATATTTTTCCATTTTTTACCCTCATTTAGTCAATAAATACATTACGTCTTTTCATATTCACTCTTCATTTTTTCTCAAAACATTCATCTCTATCATCATTAAATAAGGTTATTATTGACAAAAAAAATATTTTTAATTAGTGTGCAACTTATCAAAACGACATATATTAAAAATAGGAGGTATATAACATAATCTTGTATAAAATAACATAAGAAATGTATGTTTAAAGTATTAAGAACGCCTAAAATATTATAAATGTATGTAAAGTATGTAAAATTTTATATATCATTATTAAAAGATGTGAAGTCGTCTAAATTTTTTCTAAACTATTGTGTAAAGAAAACGTGTCTAAAACTATTTTTTTTTTAAAAAAAAAAATCTTACCTACAATATATTATTCGATTTCCAAAATAAGATGATAAGTATAAGTTTGAAGTTTAAAATCCACGTGAGTATTAATTATCAGATCAGTGTACTATTGAAATTACTAATTATGTTCATTTCCTGTGAACTACATATTGATTTACTGATTTTATTTTATTTCCATATAAAGTTGGTCGTCTCATTTTGTTTTTACCATATTTTTGTGGAGATTTAACAATGCCGGTTGCATCTATAAAATGATTTGGATACCAACATTCAATTTAATGAAGTTTTCAAAATTGTGTACTATTAACAAATAATATATTTACATTAAATATATGTTTTTGAAATGCACAACTATTGAGACTGAAAATTTGAAAATTATTTTATCTTTTAAAATTGAATTTATAAATAATAATAGATTGGTAAACAAATAATTGGTAACCATTACCGAGTTTATTATCACACGTTCTAAATAAATAAATTGTGATGATTTGTGAAAAATGATATTTAAAGAATAGCGTTCAATAATTTCGAATGCGCAATGGACTCGGGCTCGAGCCGGCAATGGCCAGTGAGGGCGTGAGGCCACGAGATGTCTATCTCGAATTTTGGTCTATCTCACTCTCTCTATGCTTGAAGCTTCTTGGGGGCTCAGATTTGGGCCCGAGTTTCTTCT